GGAATGGCAGGAGAGGGTAAAGTTGTCACAGCGGTGCAGAGACTGGTCTTTGAAACAGGCAGGAACTGTTGGTCGCAGCTGGCCCTTAGAAGGGAGCGGTGTCACTTTTTCTGTGCACACCCCCACCCCTCCCACCCCCATTTTTCTTTGTTGAGTGCCTCCTAGGGCGATTTCGGTGCTAGTCAAAGTCCCACTGAAAGGGAGTTGTTTATTGCTGCTGCAGGCTTCCCTTCAGCAGGGACCTGCCACTGCTGACCCTTGCTCTAGTGCGTGCACTAAATTAACTCCCATCCCCTTCCTTTAGGTCTTCTCTCCCAAGGGAGCAAGCGCTTTGAAGAGTAATCCCGTCAACCTGTCACCCCGAGTCCCGGAAACTCGCCGTTACTATGGTTACTGTGCCCAATTCAACCAGTGGCTCTGGCACTCACATTGCAACCAGGCAAAAAACATCCAAGTCATACACACACACACACACACACACACCCCCTGCATATATCAAGCTGCAGCATCAGCTCTGCAAGCAAGAAGTTGCTGCTCCCAATCTTGTATTTTTCTTTACTGACTTCTGGCTGAACGTGTGGATTGTTGGGTGCCCATTGACACAGTTCAAAACTAGTTATCACGGATCAAATCGAAGTGCTTGAGAAGTGAACAGGAGCAACAGAAGAGTTCTTTAGACTTCTCATGTGATCTGTTAGCAGTACTGTCACTGAAAAGGTGTTTTCTCAGGAGCTGAGCACTGAAATTCATGTCTGTAGATCTCTGGGATCAAGATACCCAGTTCAGAAGTTGGGTGCACTCTAAGCATGCTTGCCCCGAGTTCTGCCATGCAGATGCTGTGCGTCATTGTGCTGCTGAAGCCCATTCGGGTTCCATCACCACTGCACTTCGCTGGTTTTCATCAAATTTCATTCTTCAGTGGCCCAATTCTTGGGTACATAGGTGTTATGGCTTGAGAAACCCATAACAATTTATGGTCATTTAGACAATCATTCTATCACCTGATGACCCCTTCCCACCCAGGAAAAGGAATCGGGAAAAACAAGGAAACCCGGGGGTTGAAGTATAAACAGATTTCATAGAATAAGATTAGATAATTAACATTAATAGTACTAAAAACCCAATATTGATCCAAACACCAATACAGAATATGCACAGATTATACTCAGCGGATTCTATCACTAGAAGCTGTGCACTCCCAGCAGTGGACAGCAAATGTCGGACACCGTGAGCGCTACGGCTTCAGGAGGAAGGGAAGGTCTCAGGGGTCCGGCACTGGGGCATGAAGTTCTCGGGATGGCAGCCATGAAGGGAGAGAGAGCACTTCACAACAAACTTTCTGATTTATATTGAATGTGACATTTGTGGTATGAAATAATGCTGTTGGCCAGCTTGGGTCAAGTGCTGAGGTCTTGCTCCTCCTCATCCCTGCACCTGGCAAGCTCAAAAACACTGAGACCTTGAAGCCCACATACCATAGCTGGCTGTAAAGTAAATGCTTTCACCAATTCAGACATTAGAATCTTCTAAAAGTGCAGCCTTCCCAAGTCTTGGAAGAGCAATTAGTCCTGTGTTGCTCCAACCAGGACAGTAGGCACCTATGTGACATACTTTTACAGACAGATTCTCCAGCCAGGCAGCAATATCTTGCCACAACGGGGCAGCCCAGATGGGTTTGCCTCTGTGCTGCCAGTTGCTCTGCTTCCATTGCTGTAACCACCCCCACAGAGCATTTCCCGCCATCCATGAGTCAGGACGGAGAAAAATTACTGGCCATTTTTCTTGTTCAGCAATATCCAAAGCCAGCTGGATGGCTTTCACCTCTGCAAACTGGCTCAATTCACCTTGTCCTTCAGCAGCTTCTGCAACTTGTCATGTAGGACTCCACACAGCAGCCTTCCACCTTTGATGGTTTCCTACAGTACGACAGGACCCATCAGTGAACGGGGCATATTTTTTACCATTTTCTGGTAATTTATTGTACGGTGGGGCCTCTTCAGCATGCATCACCTCCTCCTCTAGTGATATTCTGAAATCTTTGCCTTCTGGCCAGTCCATGATCACTTCCAAGATTCCTGGGCAACTGGGGTTTCCCATTCGAGCTCGCTGTGTGATCAGTGCGACCCATTTACTCCACGTAGTGTCAGTTGCATGATGTGTAGTGGGGACCCTCCCGTTGAACATCCAGCCCAGCACCAGCAGTTGAGGTGCCAAGAGGAGCTGTTCTTCCATACCAACCTATTCCGAAGCAGCTCAAACCCCTTCATATGCTGCCAGTATCTTTTTTATTTGGAGTATCTCTGTATCACTGTGTCTCTGTATCACTGTACCTCCAACTCCAAAACCCTAGAGGTCAACCTCAAGTCTCCCCTGGTGCTTTCTGCCAGAGGTAGGCTCCAGGTAGGGCCATTCATCCCGGCTGCAGTGTAGAGCACGTTCTTAACATCTTTTGCTGCCCGGACTGGCCCAAGGGCTACCATATTGCCACTGTGCAAAGCTGGAGCAACTGCTGCAGCAGAAGAACATAAACATTACATATTCACGCTCATGTGCACCTGTAGCAATATCCAGGTCATCAAGTCATTTCTGTCTTCAAGCTGGTCAAGGACAGGACTTTTGCATCAGAGTCCTTACTGTAAGCAGAATGCCTCAGCTGCAACATTTCTGCTGCAGCATAGTTTTCAGCTCTCGTTTTTTGGAAGTAGTGTGTAGCTATAAATAAGCAAGACTGGCACTGTCAGCATATTAACAGCAGCAGTGCAGACAGATTTCTTTCCCGGATGGCTCTGAACAATGCAGGTAGACTTTGCATTTACCTTATTAGGCTTCAGCTCATTTCCAAAACCAGACCTGGGCTATAACTGTGTACAAGGCTAATCTGTGAAGGCACATTCAAGCTGCTGACAGGCAAAGCGACCTTATATCCAATCAGCCCTCTGTCTGAGGTGGGAACTGGCAGATTGGCTATTTTATCACTGGATTTCCTTTCCAATCAATTTTCTCTTTCTATGCAAGCCTCCCTCTGAGTCAAGGCTCTTGCAGGCAGCAGCTTCTTCCACCAGACATCCCCTCCTCTATTCCCAAAGCACAGTCTGTCCTGTGCACTGAAGGAAGCCAAGATCCTACAGAAGGAAAGACACCAGGTCATGTTAATTATTGGCTGTCTCATAACAGATGCAAAACTTGGGGTGGCATTGCGTGGCATCTGGTTTGATTTGCAGCCACCTTTGCTCTTAATGACAGGAAAATGATCTAATGGCCGCGTGTGTAAGAGCGCACCTTTTGTGTAGAATCACACAAGAAATTCACTGACGTGTTATTGGCAGGACAGCCTCTATCAGCATTGCCAAATGGTAGAGGGGACAGTGGCCACAGGTGTGTGTCACCTACAGACAGCATCCCACCAAGGTGACAATTTCCCCACAGCTGGGCAGTTTATTTATCCCCATGTTCTTTCCTCAGTATCACAGAGTACAGTTTGCACCAGATTTCACAGAGTAAAACCATGGTTTTCTTTTTCCTGACCTTTTTTCAAGCAAGCCTGCTGTAGCTATTTTGGCTACTATTTGTAGCCAAAATAGTTTTCTTCTGTTCCTACAGTACTTTTCTCATAATTGGGCTGAGAAATAATCATACAGAAACTTGCTCTGGTTTCCTGCTGTCAAAATCCTTGCAGTCCATCAAGGAACAGCCTGACTAGTCATTCTTCCTGTGCAGTTTTGCAACTCCAATGTTTTAAGAGCAGTTGTTCAAACCATGCTTCATGTTACACGGTGATGTATGGAGAGAAAGCCCTTGCTCCAAAGGCTTTGCAGTCTGAGACCTACTTTGAGTTTTCTTTGCCAGTAAGATGCAGCTTTGAGAAAACTCTGTGTGTGCTACTCATTCTTGCTAGGAAGCAGAGGGTGGAAAACAATGCTCAAACCTTCTGCTCCACCCCACAAACTTATTTAAAAGTATGTTCTTTCAAGGGGAAAACCTGACTTTTTGGCAAATTGAAAACCATTTTTCCTAACAAGTTTCCTACAACTACATTTCATTGTGCAAAAATAAAAGTGAAAGTTGAGCTGTTGGTGAGGACACTTTGGAATAAAGCAAATCAAAGTAATAGCTTTTTTTTATTGCTTTTGAAGGTACCAGCTATTAAAAGCTTTGATGACAGACAAGTTAAATGAAAACGGTGCGTAGTACCTATTTGACGTGGTGATCACTGACTCCTGGAGAAGTGTCTCTTTACTTTCTCTCATGTGATAACTTGTCTTCACCTCACACCTTTCTGCTATGGCATTTACTAGACACCTGCCGTCCCACAGCGATCAGCCACCTGAGCAAAAGTTAGACCTGAGGAAACAACCATGGCATAAGACACACCCCCCAGTCGCAGAGAAATGAGCTGTGAGGGGATGTTTAGCATGTGTGACAAGAGTGAGAAAGTGCCAGGGATTTTTAATTGTCACAAGGCAGCCGGGACCTTGGCTGAGGTTTCATCGTGGAGATCCTGGCAAAGTCACCTGATTTGTCTGCTTTAGATAAAAGAAAGACTAAGCGTGACTGGTTTGAATGTGAAACCTTATTCCAGGCAGGCAGAGTGTTTGGACATTGGAGGATATCAAAATCAAATCCTATCATCAGTTGTCTCTTCCATTACGTTATGGAATACCAGGATAAAAATAAACAGCAGAAGAGAAGTGCCGCTCCGATTTTGCCAGCACAAAGTTATATACTGAACCTACTTTTTGTTAGGGAAGCTTTTATTTCTTAAACCATCTAAATGTGTATGAGTATCTGACCTGAGGGGCTTCTGAGTCCAAACTGAGGGGTCACAAAGGAGTTAATTCTGAGATTCAGGCCAATTTTGAAGTGCCACGAAATCACAGTAACAAAATAGCAATGGCTTGTGCTGACACTGAGGGTATTTTCCTGTGAGATGCCTTAGTTCACTCTTGCTCACAGTCCTTAAAAAACGCAGCATTCCTACAGGTTTCAGAAAAGTCAAGACGTGTGGACCCTGCCGAGCTGACCAGTACAGCAGCGCAAGACCAATACCCTGTGCGGATCCGCTGTTCTGAGTGACCTTCATTTCATCTGCTTTTAAAGAAGAAAATTTATTCCAAAATAAATAGTTTAATTCCAAAATAGCGCCCAACTGAAAGATTTATTCCAGATAATCTCGGTTATATGGGAACAGGAGCTACCAAAGCAGCACGCCAGGACAGCTACAGCAGTAACTTCCCATGCGTACCCAGGCCTCTCTCTTGATTCATGCTGCTGTAGCTGCAATAAAAATCCCTTGTGTTTACTGGTTACAAAACCAATGGTTCTCGATACCTAACTGTCTAAGCACTGCTTAGGTGATGAGCTCTGTATGAACACCTCCACGGTCAGTATTAATGACAGTGCTCTAAAGCAAGCGCAAACAGTCACACACTCTTAATGCTTAAACCACAGCAAATGTGTTTAATCCCACACAATAGCGCCGTCATAATATGTCTTAAAGCTGTGGTCGGCCGGGGAAGCGGTGACCACTTCTCACATATATAACGTATACCGAACATATTCAGCTTGGCAGGAAGACAAGAAGCTGGAAGTGTCGCGCTGGAGCCGAGCCCCCTGACAGCATGAGACATGTGCTTGTAAGCTGTCTCGAGGAGGATATTTGATTGCCCTCTTTCTTCTTCTGCCTCTCTCCCAACAAAAGTGGAGTGACCTCCCCCATGACCTGGCAAGTGCTGAAATTCCCCAAACACATTTTTCTGTTGTGCCCCAACGCTGCACAAAAGGAAACGAAGCAGCCTCGATATACTTGAAGTATGGAATGAAAATAATAGCCGGCTCTTGCTCGGCCCGCAAACGCCGGTCTTCACCTCCTGCCGAGGTCTATGTAATTGCAGTTTACACTGCGTTCCCACGCTACTATTGTTTGGGACTTTGTTTCCTATTCCCATCACGTGTGCTAATTAGTTGGAGCTGCTGGCTAGCTGGGAGGCGTGTGTCTGGAGTAAAAGCAGAAAGATCACTTCCTGGAGGGATCTAGGCAATCTGAACAATTCTTTGCTTTACTTTCAGCCCTCTCCCTCCCCCCTGGCCCTCCACCCCAGCTTTACCACTCAGGGAAGAGAGAAGAAGTGCTGATTGTCAAATGCTGCTAGCCACGGGAGAGGCACGGATTTTCTCTTCTGAAAGGGAGCAACTCATAGAGTCAAAGAAAATTGGGCTGGAAAGAACAGCTCATCTGTGTTTAACAAACCTGATTTTTTATTTTTTTTTTCCTCCAGAAATCCCCAATGTCTTTCTGTTGTGGCTAAGAAGGTAAAAGCAGCATTTTTAAGAATCCTCAGGTTATTTTAGCCTGCCCTTAGGAAGTGAGTCAGATTTTATGGCAAGGCTAAAGCTAGCTGATGCCATGGCTTGCAAAACAAAATGAGACCCAGAGAGAGAGAGGGAGAGGGAGAAGGAGAATTACCTGAGTCATGGCATTTGCTTATTTGTGACAGCAAGGCCAAGTCACATGGCAAGACCAGGTATCTGTCCATGGACTCAATGTTTGATTTGCTGCATTTTATTTTATTTTTTTTTTTAGATCTCCAATTAAATCCTCCTACCCATAGCCCTGGTGCTTTTCAAATGCCAAGCACACTGGGACCTCCTCAGATCGTGCAGGCACTACATGCAGCCCACACAGGCATCAGGCTGGAGCCCCTCCGGTGGGAGCTGCCAAGGTCCCACCAACCTCTGGTGTCACATCAGCAGCCTTTGCTGAAACCCATCCTTCTCCTTCAGGCAGCAAGCCCGGGGGACGCGCTCTTCTGGCATCCATAGTCCTTGTCCCACTGGTCTAGAGTGACCCTCCACGTTCTCTAGTTTCACAGGCTGAGGAAAAAAGTGGGGGGCTGAGAGCTGAAGGGAGACTTGTACCTGGGGCTCTTCTCATTTCAACCATGGGCAACTAGCTCAAGTGCCTAATGCCTGTGTTACCGTCACTGCCAGGCTCAGCAAAGACACCAGTGTGCTCACAAGGAGGCAGGTCCCAACCGATTACATTGAAGGAGGAGCACTAAGCGCTCACCCAGAAACAGGAGAAGGTTTAAGACTACATTTGCTTTGCTTTCACTGGGCACAACCTTATGAAAGCAGAGGTTTGCTGGCAATAACTGTAAGTCAGGCTCAGCTCAAGTAAGTATAGCCTGTGCTTTCCTATACAGCTCCGCCAATGTCTAAGGGAAAGCCCAAAGTAATGGCTATCAGTCCGCACTGCCGTTGTGGGATTGCAGCTAGGTAAAAATCAACATTTACATCCTCTGGGAAATTCCAATATTTCTACACTTTTGTTTTGTTTTTATTTGGGTCAGGGAGAATTGAAGTATCCTAAGTCTGTTTGGTTTGGGGTTTTCCTGTCCTTCTGTGGGGAAAACAAGTCCTAGGTTTTGGAAACAGTGAAACACTTCGCTGTGAGTCAGCTCCACTTTAAAGGGCATCTCTTTGACTATCACATTAATACTTGATGTTGCCATTTGTGTCATCCCCCAACCCTGTTTTTTCTTATAGACTGGGTACCCCTTCTGGCTTACCTGTCTCATGATACCCTCTTCAGCTCAGGGTACAGGTAAATATTTTGAATTACTGAAGGTACAGGCTGGCTGGCTGGCCTAGGGCAAGGCTGGATAATTTTTCCACCGTGGAAAGAAGTGTTTTACAGAGTCACCATAAAAGGCTTCGGAGCTGGCATCCTCAGACCATCATGCACATCCTGCTTTCTATTCATAACCACTTTTGCCATTTACAAACACTTCACGCAGTAGCTCCAATTGCTTTGGAAGGTAAACTGGGAGAATATTTGCAGTCTAGCTTTTGATGAGATAAGGAGCTAGAATTTCAAGAGAGATGTGATGAAGTAGCTGGTGACCCAGCCCTTTGCAGATGAGCAGGCACTTCTGGTGCTCCAGTGGGTCGCAAAGCACAGTCTGCCTTGGAGTTGGGGTCACCTGCTGTGAATGTGGGGAAGCTTAATGAGGCACAGACCTGCAGAGACCATCCTGCATCACAGCCTGCTTTACTCAGGACAAAGGTGACTGGCGAGGAAGGCACCCTATAGAAATATGGAGGGCGTTCGCATGTGCATCATTACAGAATCACAGCATCACAGAATGGTCAGGGTAGGAAGGGACCTCTGGAGATCATCTAGTCCAACCCCCCCTCCAGAGCAGGGTCACCTACAGCAGGTTGCACAGGACAGCGTCCAGTTGGGTTTTGAATGTCTCCAGAGTGGGAGACTCCACAACCTCTCTGGGCAGCCCGTGCCAGGGCTCCACTCCCCTCAAAGTAAAGAAGTTCCTCCTCACGTTAAGATGGAACTTCCTATGTTCAAGTTTATGCCCATAACCCCTCATTCTATCACTGGGCACCACTGAAAAAAGACTGTTCCCATCCTCCTGGCATCCTCCCTTTAAGTATTTCTAAGTATTAATAAGATCCCCCCTCAATCTTCTTTTCTCTAGACTAAAGAGACCCAAGTCCCTCAGCCTTTCCTCATATGAGAGATGTTCCAATCCCCTAATCATCTTTGTAGCCCTTTGCTGGACCCTGTCCAGCAGTTAACCCTCTCCATTAACTTCATTATTTCCATTAAATAACCCCTGACTTCGTCCCAGGTTTATATCTTTGGCAACCACGACAAGCAAATAGTCCTGAGCAGTGTCCTGTCAGGTCTTCCTTTTCCTGGTGGAAAGCATCTCTCTCCTTGGGAATGGCTACAGTAATACCGAGGAGAAATCTAGGCTTTAATGTAGCACTAGCAATCTATAGAGTCTGCAGCTTTTGGCACCTGTGGTCTTCAGCTGGCCTTAAACATTACAATTATTTATTTCTTTTATAATACAACTCACAAACTGTTCCAGCCACTGACGTCCCAGAAAGATTGATAATCAGGCAAAAATTGCACTGCAGGGAGTGGCAAATGCTGCGTTCAGATATCTTTTAAGGATTTGTGAGGACCACCAACATCTTTGCACAAGTAACCTGAACCAAAGGAAAAATAATCCAGCAAAGCAACTCTGTGCACTGTAACAATTACAAAACTTCATCAGGACTTAATCTAGTTAATGATTTTTTAGTTCTTGCAGCTCATTATTTATATTTAGAAATTAAAAAGCTCCAGCAAGGACAAAAAAAAAAAAACAAAACAAAAAACCAGCCCCTCAGTGAGTCATTCAGAAGCTCTCTGTTCTTTTTCCTGTTTTCTCACTGAATATGGAAAGCGGCTCATGATTTCAGTCCTGATATGCAAAGCCTATTTGAGACTGGTTTAGCTGCCTGAGGGAGCTTCACTCAGACTTCATGGCCACAGTTGCCTACAACAGCCACTGCAACAGAACAACATAGCTCCAGCTAAAAGAAAGGCTTCTGGGTGCATTGGTCATGGTAATTGCAAAATGCTCTGAGAAGATGCCCACCCCTTTTGGAACTACAAATTAAGCAAACGACCTCATTTCAACTTTCTCTGTGTGTGTGTACTGGTACAGTATACTCGGTTACACACAAAAGTTTAAAAAATGGTGCTTTTCCATGATCAGCAGAATTAATCAAACCTTGTTACCTATGGAGTGATCTACATCCTGACACTGGCCCAATATCTGTACCTGCCGGTTGGCTCCATGGTGCTGCTGCCTGCGCCCGCAGACTACACTGCAGCGGGCACGAAGTCTCGGGCATGCTGACTACCCAGGTGGCCTCCTCTGGCATGGCCGATGGAAGACCGATCTAGGTTCCTCTTCTTCACCAGTTTTGCATAAAACCTATAGGATCTTAGTTAGTTTGAATCTGTCGTTTATCAAAGGCGGTGGGTGTTGGCCAACAGGCTTCAACGTTACTGAGTGGGTTGTGACTGGTCGATCAATGGATAAACAGCAAGGCAGATAAATAAGATGGTGGCTCAAGCTTGGTTACCAAATGAAATCCCTTTAAAAAATGCCTCTTTTGAGTACTAAAATATTTCCCTCCTGATTAGGACCTCCCTCTGGGTTATTTCTCTCCATAGAGGTAGTAGCAGCAATGATAATGCTGTAGATGTGATGGTCGAAATAAATGAGATGCAGGTTTTTTAGGAAGAGTCAATATCTTTAGATCTAAGGTTTGTGTGCCCAGTTTATCCACTTTCTCAGCTATATCACCTGGCCTAGTAAAAGATATTCTCTTTCTTTGCAAAGACTCTTAGACACTGGAGTAATGGGCCTCAGAGTAGGTACACAGATTAGATAGTTAATCAGTCACTCGCAGATTGTTGCTGAGATGGGAGAGCTTTCATACACTCTCTCGGAGAGTTCTCAGGTTTGTGATGACTGAAAATGGGGGATGGTTTCAGTGCCGCATTTACAACTACAGGAATACAGAGCCCACCTTTAACTTGAAAATATTTGCATAAAGCATTCAGGTAATATAAAGGAAACTGATTACTTTATACCAGCTGGATTACAGCAAGCCAATATTGACTTCAAGTTTTGGTTGTCAGCAAGATTTATTTTACTCGAGGTAAATATTGACTGTGGCACAGCCAAGGCCAGTATTTACTTTGGAGGAATATCAATCTTGTGGCTCAAAACTGGAAGTCGATATCTTCATTGTTATACTTTTTCATAAATACTGGGGGTGGGGGGGGGGGAGGCAGGGGAGGGTTGGCTAATGGGAAACGTATATGCATAATTTAAGAGAGTAGTTCAGATGCAGTGGGGGAAAAAAAAAAAGAAAATATGGAAACAAGGTTATTACCTTGGACCAGTAAAAGATGGGAGCTGCTGAAAGGAACAAAACAGTTGGAATATTGTAACTCCCAGGCAAACCCTCCCTGCAGACACTGGTTGTTGACCTCTTGAAAAGTAAACAGCAAGAAATGTAAGCAGTAGCTGCTGTCAGGAATGGTATAATGTATGGAACAAGAATTTCTGTTCCCAGCCTCCTTTGAACTGTCAGTTGATTTTGTCTTAATACTCTGTAAGCCCTACAAAATACAACACGCCTGCTCTGTTATGGGATAAGTTTAGAAAGCCATTGAAATAGTGCTTATTGGAGTCTTTGCCACTTGTGTCTCTGTAAAGAAACACAGCATCTAAACTTAAACCAAGAGGAAGACAGGGAGTCTGTTTGGATTTGGGGGCACTGATGCGGAAAATGCTCGATGTTGCTTTTCACTCTGTTGGTGAAACTGTGGAGGAGGGCATTAAAATCCATTACTATTATGTTATCCATGAAATCTCTTGGCACAGACACACGAACACCATCTTCCTTGAGGCAACGTACAGCACATTCCCAGTCAACCTGCTACCAGAATATAAAAACAGCCATTACCCTGCCAATGTCAGAGATAGTCCTATTAATTACAGAGACAGACAAACAGCCTGCAGGATCCCATGGAGCTGGAAGAGGAGCGCTCCTCAGCACGGAGCCTAGATGTAACGGCATGCGGGAGGTGCCAACAGGTAACTCCAGCTGTGAAGAACCAGCCACCATCTGGACAAGTCTACTAAGGACTATGTCTGGTTAGCCCAGAAGCCTCGTTCGTGCCACCACATTGCTGCTGGTAGCAGGACGAGTTTGATGCAGGCTAGCTAGCTCCTTCTTAGATAAGAAGCACATGAACTGATTCCTAGCCAGGTATAGCTTGCAGCTGCTGGAGCTGAGACCTTCCTGACCTGGAGCTCAGCCCCCTCCAGATGACACAGGTGTTAATGGAGCCAGAATTGAGTCTCTGTTCTGGAAATCCAGCCTTGACGTGGACACCTCTTCCAAGCAGTGCCAAAGACAGCCTGTCAAGAGTACGTACCAGCAAAGGAGAGCTACATGGCCCTGGGCTGCTTCTCACCTGCCAGCCGCACCAGGAGGCATGAGCAGTGGCGAGGACGCTTGCTGAGCCCACAAACGTGACAGGAGTCAGGTCTCTGCAGCAGGCCGTTTGCTATCTCAAGAAAATCCTCAGCTGGTGGCTTACAGCTGGATTTGCCATCATCTTTGCTTGCCAGCGTTAATGTTTGCCGTTCAAAAGCTCTACGGACTTAACAGCTGTTGTGGCGATTGCTGCGAAGATCCGAGCTGAGCTTGTTAGAAATGCTGACCTCCTTGCTTCATGTGTTATTTGTATTTGTCTGTTGTAGCTCCTCTGAAATGTAGACATCAGAGCTGAGAAAACCCATACCGGCCTTCCCTCGGCTTCGCTGTGCTTGTGGGAGCGCTAAGGGTCCGATGTAGGTGGGTTCCCATCTAGAAGCCTTGCTGGGGCCAGTCCTGTGTGTGAGCAATGGCAACTCTTCAAACGGCTTTCAGGGGACTCAGATACCATAGAGGAGTTGCCCAAGTCATCCAACAGCAACGTTAGCTTAGGTCCATCCCCTCTTGCAATAAGTGATTCCCTAATATATTTTGGATTGATAATGTCAGCCTGTTATGAAATGACTTAATGAGATTAACGTTATGTTAACAAGATAACATTGGGGGAACGTGGTCATCTATTGCCTTTGACCAGGCAGCAAATTGCTATCTCATTAGTTATTCTTTTTCCTGTATTTTTACGGTTTGATCTAGAAGGTGAAAGAAATTTTGGCTATGGAATTTTACATTTTTGAGGTAATAGATGTGAATTTTGTCCCTCAATTCACATGAAAATATTTCACTCCTGACTGATGCAAACGCCAAGAGAAACACAAGGGGTTTGGAATAAGATACTCCCCTGCATGTCTGCCTCAGAATATTGTAGGAGGGAACTCTAGAAAGTAATGGACAGCGTTCCTTTCATTACAGCGTCTACAAGACATAGGGTTGTTTAGGAAAAGATAGTTGCCGCAGAGGCATGTGGTCGTCAAGATGAAAAACTGTCACATGCTGAAAATTCATCTGAGAGCAGCTCATCTTATGAAAAGCATTTGCTCTCATAGTGACAAGGGGCTCAGTTTCGGCTCAGATAATTGATTGTGTGTGTGTTCGCTTTGATCGGCTGTGACTTACGGATCTCACCTTTTTTTCCATGTGGACTTCTTCCTTTCATACAAAGTACTGCTTCCAAGGGTGGGACACATCCAACGCCTTCCCGCATGTCAGGCCTTCAGCCTCAGTCTTAAAATAAATGTGAGTTCTCCCGGTGGGCTCATGTGAGGGGTAACCAGGCTATAATTGGGTCCCCCGGGAGGGTTTTACATGAAGAGGAGATGAGGTTTGTGGCTTTGTCCAAGCCAAGGAGCTGAGGGAGGAAATTAAGGGGGACCCAGGAGGAGCTCTCCCTCGCTCTCACCTCCCATGCCAAGAAAGGCAAAATGATGTATTTTGAAATGAGTATTTGTCTTCTGTTCCTGCTGTTCAAAAATATTTCATTCCCTGTGTTTGTGTAGTTTTAAGGCTTCTTTGGCTTTAGTGAAATCCCTTCCCTTGCTCAGATTCATAACATTTTTTATAACTGGCCATGCTAGAGGTCTGGAACGCTGTCCGCCTCTTTGGGAAATAATTACCGTTTGTGTGGTCTAATAAACAGTCCCAGAGGGTTCAACATGAAATAGCCAGGGTCTACAGGAAAGAAAACTATGTGGAAACTCACGCAGCCCCACTAATCTGCAAGGAACAAAACAAAGTTGTACCCTGGGGTAAGAACCAGTAGCGACTCGCTTAATTGCTACCATGTCAGCGTGTGAAACTACTACCTCCGCACAAGCTAATGCGAACCTGATGCGGTTAGATTTCTGATTAAGACCAGCTAAATTTCACTTCAAACGAGCAGATAATCCCTGCGACAGATCTGCTGTGCAGCCGGGGCTGCGTTTGTTATCTGAGCCTGGTGAAGCGGCTGCTGGGGGGGCACATGGACACCCCAGGGCGGTCACCTTTAATGTGCGATGGGTATAAATACGGCGGCCGGTGCCTCTGAATCTGTGTCCCTCCCTCATCCGCCTCGCTCATCCTGCCCGTGGAGGAGAAACTCAGCCGGAGGGTGATGAGAGCAGAAGGTGAAGCCCCTTTGATTATACCACACTCAATCCTCTGCATTTCAATCCCATTATCTTCTTTCCCCTAAGATGTGCTTCAATGAGGGCAGCTTCACAAAGTCTCCCGAGTCCAGTAGTCTCCACCGTGACAACATAAGGAGGGACCACGAGTGCAGAGATGGACAGATTTGGACTCAGAAAGCCATAACTCAAACCCCTGCTTTGTTCCAGCTGCACAAGCCCCAGCAGGGCCAGCCAGCCCGCCCAGAGGCAGTGATGCCATGGCCGAGATGATGCCTGTCTCCCCTCCAGCATGGGACAACCTTCCCATGGTGGCTCTTCCCCAGATCTCTGTCCCAGACTGGGCCATCTGATGGCCCATGCTCCTTGGCTTGGATTTGAGAGAGCAGCTCATGAGCCACTCCAAGAGCAAAGTCCTGACCCCACAAACACCTTGGCCGCGATCCCAGGGCATTGCTCCCGGTGTGTGCCGAGACGTGCTTACGCCGTCCGGCCCTTCAGCGCCTGCCCAGTCACACAGGAAGCCTGTGGTAAAGCCAGGAATAAAACTATTGCCAGAAAGACCTCCTGGCAGTCCCGCGCCTGCCTTAATCACTAGATTGCACTTCCTTTGCTTCCCCCGTTACACAAGATTTTTTCTTTTTTGGTATTTTTAGTGGGACACTCTCCAGTTTCCAGTGGGTTTCGGACCTGGTAAATAACAAGGCTGCTGTTTGTTTCTTTTAGGTGTACGTGAACGCTTTCAGACACAAATTCCTGCAG